GGTTATAAAATGCCAGATGGAAGAAGCTGCCCAACCTGATTTTGGTACTGACCCAGAACCAAGGAAGGAAATAGTCCTATTTGATAAACCTACAAGAGGAACTACTGTTGAGAAATTCAAAGAAATGGTATATGGTCTTTTTAAAGTAAGTATATGCTTATTTATTCTACTTTGATAGAAAAGCTTATTTTCCTGCAGCTGGAGAGGGTGCCCTATTGTATGAGCCGTGTTCAAATGCATGTTAGAAAACCAGTCAATCAGCACAAAAATAGTTTTTCCCAGAGGTGCTTATCTTGACGTTTAAAGTAACTACTTAGCAGGTGTTTTCCTTACTTTTTAACAGATGCAAGTTGGTATGCATCTTGCATGTCTACAGCTTTCATAGAATCATAGAATCATCTATGTTGGAAGGGACATTTTAAGATCCTTGCTTGTATTTGTATAGAAAATATGGTAAAAATATGTATATTTTTGCTGCTCTTGGGGTTATTGTAACCTGGTACAAAGACTGAAGCCAAATTTGAACACTGTTCATGCTTGGGAAGAGTTACTATGTTAACTGTTTTTCCCCAGCCATATTCTCCCAGTGCTTTCTGTGTTATATTAATGTGACACTTATTTCTATTGCTTTAATGCTACCCCAGAATTTTCATAATATAGAGTCATCACTTTGATGCTGTGTCAATACTGATTTTTGGGTTTTCTTTCTTAAAATTTTTTTGCTCTTGTTGTAGCTCCTATGTCTCCAGTAATGGAAATAATGCTGTTCAAGCTGAATGAGCATATGTGCACACACTTTAACAAAATTATGTAAAGCTAATGACAGTTGTCATGCATTACAGTAGCTTTGTCTCTAAGAATGGGTGAGCAGCAGGTGCTTTAGAGTAGTTTTCTGGAGAATTTGGGAAGAGTTTATCTGACTCTTTGCATGTGTTGGTGGTAGTTAAAAATCCAATTTTTCTGATTCCAGCAATGGCTTCTTTCTCTGTATTGATCCAATGGAGGTGGTTCTATCAAATAACAAAATTAAGTATTTCAGTACACTTATCATATGGGATTTGTACCCAGCATGTCTTCATACATTTTATAGTTGGCCAAATTGTAGTTGATACTGTAATTTGTTTACACCTGTAAGGTTTAATCAGCTGAAAACTAAACCTGATCTAAAGATTTGAATTCTACATACTTTTTCTAAGAGACTATTTAACAAGCTACCTGATACGACTTTTCTAAAGACTGATCTGACCAAGAACAATGTTTGAATTTTAATGTTTGCGTTTTGAAATGCAAAGAACACTAGTACTCTCGGAAGATCATATATTTGGTACCTTTGAAAACAGAACAAAGTGGAAGCTCTTCAGGCATCTGGTAGCAAGTCCTGTAACATCTGTAACCAATGAAAACTAGACCATAACATACCCGAACCATACTGTCTGTAGAAGAACGACAGGTGGATTGCTGGTAGTTAATGAAATCATACTTAATCTTTTCCGTTTGTTATTTTTAGGCAAAACTGGGTGAACAAGGAAATCTTTCAGAACTGGTTAATCTCATCCTGTCTTTTGCTGATGGAAACAAAGATGGTCGAGTTTCTTTGCCAGAGGCGAAATCTGCATGGGCACTTCTGCAGCTAGATGAGTTTCTGTTAATGGTGATCTTACAGGATAAAGAACATACTCCCAAGTTGATGGGTTTTTGTGGGGATCTCTATGTGACTGAAAGAGTTGAATATACCTCTCTCTATGGAATCAGCCTTCCATGGATTATAGAACTTTTCATTCCCTCTGGCTTCAGAAGAAGCATGGACCAATGGTTTACTCCATCATGGCCAAGAAAGGCGAAAATAGCTATAGGGCTTTTAGAATTTGTGGAAGATATTTTCCATGGACCTTATGGAAACTTTCTTATGTGTGATACAAGTGCCAACAACTTGGGATATAATGATAAATATGATTTGAAAATGATGGACATGAGAAAAATTGTGCCAGAAATTAATTTAAAGGAAATAATTAAAGATCGTCAGTGTGAATCGGATTTGGACTGTATTTATGGTACAGACTGTAGAACTCTGTGTGACCAAAGCAAAATGAGATGTACCACAGAAGTAATTCAGCCAAACTTGGCAAAAGCCTGTAAGCTACTTAAAGACTATCTGCTTCGTGGTGCTCCTTCTGATATTCATGAAGAACTAGAAAAACAACTGTACTTGTGTATTGCCCTTAAAGTCACAGCAAATCAGATGGAAATGGAGCATTCTTTAATACTCAATAACTTAAAAACTTTACTGTGGAAGAAGATTTCCCATACAAATGATTCTTAGCTTCTCCACCAGCAGAGGATAATATTGATGCCTGCCACTAGAGGTGGCCTACCACATTTGATAAAAACAATCTGCAGCATTTTTTAAAGACGTTTCTTTACTCAGATTTCATGGACGGCTTTTTAACTCTTGCCCTTCAGTCCATACCTTACGACAGGGCTTCTCAAAGAACAAACATGCCACTCAATGGTCAGGCGGAGGCCAGAAGCACTTCTGGTATTCCAGTGCTGTTATGGAAACAAAAACCCTGCATGCTTGACTGTTCTGTGCACTTTGTCAGATCTTGAACAGGATGAAAGTATTCACTGTGCCACCGCATCAACTGATGGAACATCTTACAATTCTGTGAAAATCATTGCTCACTTGTGAAATACCTGCAAAAGATTTTTATCCTAAGTAGTTTTATGATGAACCACCACTACTGCAAACAACGTGTCTGAGTCCAAGCTGCTGTTATGAATAAACTGAACTGTGAGACTGATGTTTACTAATACCTTGGCATGGCAGAATTTGCACATTAATAACTTCTAAACTGTGGAAAAATTAGAATTTTATTCTAGAATTGACATGTTGTAATATGAGACTTAAATCAGATTCTGTTTACACCTTGTTACCTCATGCTTACATCTTGAATGTTTAAGTATTTCAACACTTTTTAATGAAGTCCTTACACAGTGAACTATGTTGGAAGCCAAGAATTGTAGAATATGTTATTTCTTAAAATTATGTACATAGTCTAGCAGCAGTATCAACATCCATTTCAAAAACTGTAGATTATTGTACTTCAGTTGAGGCCTTTAACCCAAATTAAGCTGTAGTAAATATGCAAAAGTAAGGAGTCTGTGGACTAAGCTGTTTCATGAGAACTGAAGTTAATTTTTAAAAATACTGATAGCAGAAATGTTCTAACAATTTAAAAAAAAAAAACACCAACCAAATTGCATTGTGTAGGAATCTGCTGTATGACGTGTGAAACAAGTAATAATTGCAGATAAAGTTTTGACTTTCTACTGTCCCTCCAAATTCAGCTACAGCCTTGTACTTAAATCTTCTTCAACTATTGCAGAATGTAAGCCAGAGCTAGACCCGAACTGTAGGACAGAAGCTGGATTGTTCCGGATCATGGAATATTGTTTAAATGGGAGACTCTTGAGATAGTAAGAGCCAGGAATGAGGTGGAACATTAAGTGAGCTGTAGTGTTATTACTCTCCTTTTCTATAAATCATTCTTAAGTCTTGAGTAAATCCTGGCACTCCACGTGGCATGACCACTGTAGCACCTTTAATCTGCATCCCTGTTGTTTCTCAGATTTACATCTATGTTCACAATTATGCAGAACTGGATGTCCATAAAACACCTTAATACTGTGCTCAATACTTCTCTGGTACTGCTTAATTTATAAGTGCTTTAGGTAAAGTAGTTCCATCCTTAATGATTTTAATGCCAGTCATCCATATGCTTCTAAATCCTGGCCCCTTAATTCATTTTCAGCATAAGCAAGAAGGACAAGCTTTACTTAAATATTTGAAAGGTTGATAATTGCTTTAGGTATCCTCTATTAAATGCATTCCTTGAATGATTAAACTGAAACACAGGACCAACAAAGTCATTTCTCCATACCATATGTAATAGTATGCAGCTTGGGTTAAGAGTGTACTGTTTTGTAAACATCAGCTTTTCAGTTTAAGAATTACTATGGTAATTAATGTCTCTAACTTGATAATGTCCTCCAACCACAAGCTAATACACTCAAAGGTAAAGTGGTCATGTTCTTGGTGGAAAAATATGACTGTAATTGCTTCTAGGTTCTGAGCAGAAATTGAATCCAAAATGATGTTGGGTATTTTAAACAACTGGAAAACATGCTTAATAGTGCAGTTTGTTGTACAGAACCTTCACTTTTATTGCTGTTGTATCAAGTTGGAGCTTTCATTGGGGAAAACAAAGCTTTTGTTTACAATAAATCACAGGCCTCCTCTTCTCTTTCAGTAGCAGTATCTTAAAGCAAAACATTCATCTATGTAGCCTACTTGACTCGTGTTTGAACTGTGCAAGCAAGTAAGTCTAAGTCAGAAGTGCCTATGAAACTGAGATGTAGGAGAAAATAAGAGATAAGGGCAAGTCAAGGCCTCTGTAACTAAGCACGTGTATGCAACGTGAAAGTGAATTCTCTTGTCTAATCACTAAATAATGTGAAGTATTTAGCTTAAGGCAGAACCTGTTTCAGAGCTTGGAGCTGAGTGAAAGTATTGCTGACTTTATTCCTGAAAGCCTAAGGCTGCCTTTGGGCAGAGGCTTTAGAACCCAGTGTGACTACTCCTGCTTTTTTCTTAAGCTACATACAGATTCCTCCATAACATTAAGTATGCTGAAAGAAAAAAGGTGAAGGACGTGTAAAGCCCTTTTTAAAAATTTAAAATCTTTTTGTAGTTAAAAGCAGCAAGTTCTTATATCTAGTCTTTGATACTAGTCATGCCAAAAATTAATCAAATTCATTGCCCCTTCTTATGGGAATAATGCTAATGCACCAGCATTAGTTTTGAAGTCTTTTCCCCTGTGAAGGAGTTCAATTCATGCAGTACTTTGAAGGGGGGAAAAAACCCTTAAGGCTACAGAGTATCTAGATCATAAAAAAAATATTCTGCATCTTTATATTAATAAGCCAGTCTTACACAGTTGCTTACTCAATAAATTTATTGCCACTTTTTCCAAAGCTTCATAGAAAATTGTGGAAGTTGTCTTAACTATCAGCTGCGCGCTCCTGGGCCCTGAGAAAGCTAGCCTTCTTCTGAGCAACACGATCTTTCTTCTGAGCGAGGGACATCTTGGGACAGTTCCATCTGCAAAGTAAGCACAGTCTATGATATATCCAAGGCAGAAAGGTGGTCAAGAAAGCTGCAGTGCTGCATGAGAACTATGATTAGCAGTGCTGTGCTAGAACGTATTCTCACTTCTGTAACATCTTATTGTCTCGTAGTGATTTAAGGCTGTAGTTAGGGCACCACAAAAGGGCATGGTTAGACTGCAGCAGTTTAGTTCCTCAAGAGGTAAGCTTAGTACTCTCTTGTGACTGGAGTATAGACAGTGTCAAGCCCAATGCAATAGTTGTGCCTGTATTTCTCTTCTCTCAGACCCCTGAAAAGTCAAAATAGTTTAGTACTGACAAATTAGTCAGCCTACCCTCTCCTGAAGAGAAGCAGCTTTCCCACTGTGACCAGAATACACACATAAGGGTTCCAGCTATTCAGGCCACAAGTATGCTCCACTTTTAAATTTTGTTTTTAATGCAGTTGAGGGCTCTTAAAATTTAAGTTCCTACTGCTAATGTTAACTCCTGACAAAGTTATGCAGAAATGCTTGCATCAATCTGATCTAGAACACATCTGAGTTTTGATACAACTGCAATGTGAACTACGGTACTTGTTTTAACATGACTAAAATATCTTCAACAGAGAAGTCACACTCATGTTAAAGAAGATGGGAGTTTTACCTCTTTTTCTTGACTTCTCTCTTGGGTTTCTTTTCATGGACTGGATTATCCCGTATAGCAGCATGGGCTTTTTTATACATTTCTTCCATCTTAAAAAAAAAATAAAATTAAATCCTCTATAGTGGTCCAGTTGTAGGATCATATAAAAAAAATAAAAAACAACAAAATGCAGGAAGTAATTTTATCTTTAACAGTTACGGATCTGAGGCCATAGAGTACCTACAGATTACTTACAAGTCTCATAAATACAGTCTAGGATCTTGCAGTTGAAATACTTTTTCCTCTGAAGCCTACTTTCAGTCCCATAGCTTCCCTACATTTAAATTAAAAGGCAGTGTAGACAGTTATTCTGCTTTTGCCTAGAATAAAATACTTCATGTTTACTTATTAAACCAACATTACTCCACACAAATTCCTGTCATCAAACATGTAATCCTACCACTTTCAAGACCCTACTGTAGTACACATTACAAAGCTGTTTAGTAAGAGGGAAAGCGTAGAAGTTGTTGTGAAAGCAGCTACAGATTTGTAAGTCTTGCAAGAACCATGACAGTCCCTGCATCGTCCCCAAGGACGCAATAATAGAAATACTGTAGCAGAGGCTATACCCAAACAGCAATTTCTGACAGCTCAGACAGCACATCATTGTACTTGAGCAACTGTTCTTTTAACATGTGAGACAGGAAAATGGAAGTGATCTGTCCAGTTACATAGATCAATAGCAGAAGGTACCAGAGACTCCTGCTCTCTCTGCTGCTCTGTCTCAAAGACACCTGTGGCTCCATAACAGCACCAATTTTAAGAATACCTTTCCTGGTGGTTAATTAAGACCACTAGACCCCAGCTGTGAAAAATCTTCTAAGTGTACAAAGAATAACTGTCTAGCTATTGACATAAGTCCTGGACCCACTTCATTGCAATACAAGCTATAAGTATTGTTTGTTTAGTAAAATAGTTGAAGTTGGCATTTGCAATACAACGTTACTTATTTTTAGTAAAGACTAAGTTATAAAAAAATAGCAGTCAGTTAAGTTTACAAAAAAACCACAACCAAACCCAATAGCAATAAAGGGATAAAGAATGAAGTTAAGTTTTCCATAGCTTAAAAAGGGTACATGAGAATGTTTGTTTCAAGCTTCAGGATCACTACTTTGGGAAACCCAGGCAAGAACATTACAGGCCACATGACAAGCCATCTGAAAGGAGTTTAACACTTTAAGGAAGTGAAAGAAGCACCTTGGTAATCTTATGTATCTTCTAGTGTTTTGTACAAAATACTCTAAAATTTAAAGTAGTACTAAAATAAGACATATTACACACAGTAGTTTTGTGAGATGCTAGCTTCTACAATAGAGCTAGCTTGGGCTATTCTATATTCAGCTGGGGCACAGAACTACCTATAAGGGTCACACAAATCCTAAGACAGATTTCACATAGAGCACATCCTCACAGTTGCAACTACCACAGCTGCAGAAATGACAGGCTATCGTGCAGGATTAGGAATAAGTGAGTAGCATGTATAGAAACTTCAAGTTAATTTCTGTATCAGGAAAAAAAAAAAGAGATCGAGCTTAGAATGCAGTCCTGTAAGCTTAGATTTATAGGCAGAATGATAAGCTTCACCACAGGAAAAGAGATCTCACTTTCAGAAGATCTACAATATACCAAAGAACCCTTAATGAAGGAAAAATATTTTCTTTGCATGGGTAACATACAACATGATTCACATTATTGTACATAAACTTATTTGCATTACTAGAGAAGGCCCTACGCATCATCTCTATTAATGCACAAGAGCCAGCCAGATAAATCTTACCCCATCAGGTGTTACATTGTTCTTTATGTATTGGGAGAACTGTTTTTTGTAAGCATCTTCATCCTCCTCCATCAGGTAACGCATATAATCTGCAACATTTTGGCCCATGATATGCTTGCGGTGTACCTCTGCATTGAATTCTTTGCTTTCCGAGTCATAACCAGGGAAACGTTTGGTACTGTGAAACAGCAGTTACAGTCAGATTAAGACATACTGCTAAATCCGCTAATTCAGAAGCTAGGTTCCACAAAGAAATGACTGATACATCAGATTCTCCTCCAGATAACTGAGGGATAGGACCCTCTAATTAAAAATTCAAGAGATATGGAAATTAAGAAATAGAAGTTTTAAGTTCATCTCAGCTGCCATCAGTCCCGTCTTGAAACAGCGCAGTGCATCATACACACACCATGGACCAACTACAGAGTGTTCAGTCATTGGGAGTATCATCATGTAGCAGCCAAGTCAGAAAAACTGGACAATTAGTCAAGAATGAATGGGAGAGGGCAGGAAAATACAGAACAGATCTCAGATTTCTTCTCTACTGCTACTAGCAGAAAGAACCAATCAACTGCAATATCAGTGTTAGATAACACTACCAAAAATCTTTATTCAGTCATTTGTAGCCTATGACAGCAATTGTCAAAACTTCCACGTGGAAATTTTAAGTGCGGGTAGACTGCTGTCACAGCGAAATCAATACATACACACAATTTGCTAATGACATAAAACAGCAGAATACTAAAGGATATTTACTTAAGTGCATTCAATCAATTGATGATTTTAAGTAAAAGCAACAAGATGGCTCTTAGTTTCTAAAAATTTCATAGCAACTTTTGATAGTTGCAAGATTCCCAGCAGCACTATCAGAAGGGTAATTGTGGATTAAAAAAAGACAGTGAAGCAACCAAGAAACCCCCCACTCCAGAACCTAGGCTACATAATCATTACCAGGTCATAACAAATTATTTCAACATAAAGGGACAGTATAAGTAGACTGTCACATACAAAAGCATCTCAGTTTAATTCTAAAGGAATTTTTCCAAACGGATTACATTACCTATGAGGGATTGACAGACCACCATCCACTGCGCCCTTCAGAGCACCAAAGACTTTGTTTCCAGTGGTAGTTCTTGCAAGACCTGCATCCAGGTAGCATGTGAAAGCACCAGGCTTTCCATCCACGCTTTCCACATTGTATTCATCACCAGTCACTTCAACTTGGCCTTCATAGATCTTATCGAGACCAAATTTATTCAGAAGCTGTGGGGAAGAGAGAAAAAAAGCACTTCTGAAATTCTTTCCATTTATTGACAAAATGAAGAATCACCACCACCTTAAAACACAAATTTGCAGTAGAACCTTAATGCTTTAAATAAATTTCTTCACAAAAAATATGCACCCCATAGTAACAAAGCTTTTAACAACAACCACGGTAAGCATGTTAAGTTTCTGTTAAGTAAACTGTTAAGTTTCAACCTTTTGTTCCAACAGGTACACCAGTGAGCTTAAGACTTATTCATGAGCTCGTATGGAAAATTGATGGATGCTGCTTACATGTTTTCAAACTCTCCAAGGTGCATTTGTTACATTTTTACCCTGACTCCCTCCCTCTACCAAACTTAAGTGCTGAGACTTAAAAGTGGGCTGCTGGAGTTGAAACTGCATGCTGTCATACTTCTCCCTGTGATCTGACAGTCACAAGAGGCCATCAAATCTATATGCTAACTAGTGAAAGTTAATATTTAGAGAAGCCCAAGGAGTCAGGCATCTATACTAATGTGCCCCTTAAGAAAGTGGGCTTTCCCTTTCGTAAGAAAACCAGAGCAGCAACTTCCAGACAATCTGATGGATACCTACCCTGCGTGCCAACAGCAGACCTGTACAGTACGCTGCTGCGTAATTGGTCAGGCCAACCTTCACGCCGTATTTTGGCAGCTCGTGGGCATAAGCAGCACAGACAATCATGTCACCTTCGATTCTGGCATAAGCAATCTGACAACAAAACAACTGTTAGTGTTCTCACAATACTTCTGGGCTCAATTTATTGTTTCTTAACATCTACTTAAGTCGATAGGAATTCTTTATACAGATGCCCAGCAAACTGCCAACCTTTGCATGCAAGCTTGACGAGTTGTGTTTTTCTATTCACTTTTTTAAAAAGCATGATTAACTCAAGTACAAACACCAAGAATCCAAATCTGTAGTAGGCCAGAGAAACTGTATGTCAGCAACAACTTTATTTACCTCTCCACATACATGAAGAAGCCAGGAAACTGCCTACAAAAGTCACCTTTCAAAGAGTAATTGTAGATGTGGATGGATTCTGTCCCACTTTCTGCATGTAGTTCTCATACAACACGGCATGTAATGCACCTCAGAAAAATACAAACGCATCTGATACAGAGTTTGTGATAACATTGTTACTCACCTTATGGAATGATATTATTAATGGGTCTGAGATTTTCATAATCTCAGGGGTCTCCTGTGAGACAGCAGTACAATCAGATATGTTTCTACTGTTCCTTCTGCATACAGAACCTTCTCCTTTTGACTCCCACACCTCCTTTCTACATCCAAAACGCTGTCCTCTATTTGCAGGATTTCTACATACTGGAAGGGCACTACCAGTCAGATGTAAGCATCTGCCACCACTGATTTTTGGTTTTGAGTCTCAAAGATAAAATAACCTCATCAAGGTCATATAGTTTTATCTGAACTGACTGTAAAAACAGCACTCTCCACTCTTCTCAACAGATAGAATTATTCTATGAAGAAAGAAATGACAGTTAAACTTTTCTAGCTTCTTTTTTTTTTTGAGCTTAACAACATGTATTTATGATAGAATAAACGTGTTTAAGTTTTAACTTCAAAATTAGTCAAAACATTCTGAAAATGAAACAGGAAAGTGAACCACAGTGAAGAACTGCATATGATGCAACACACAACTGCATACTTAAGAATAGTAGGCATTTTTTCATGCTTGTTATTTGCTAGTCTCCTTTAATTTCACAGGAAAGCCATCATAACGCCTCCCTGCTTTATACGATCCACATAACATCAAAGGGAAAAAAAAGAACTCTCAAAAGAGAAGGCACCTTTAGATACAGTGCAATAGTCAATGCAGGTTGACAGGTCACGTAGTCAACTTTGTTGTCTTCGGTCAAGCAAAACCACCCTCTTTTCAAAGCACTTTAAATACAGCAGAAAAAGAGTAAGAAATCTTCCCTGTCCCTAAAATCTTTTACTTATCTCAGCATCACTGAAACAGTACAACTTATATTACAAATAACCTTGCTGAAGAACGCTGACACTAGTAAAACTTATTTTGGATCATGAATATGGTTTGTTACTGAAGTTGTGTCAACATTAAAGATTGTTCTCCTCTAAGAAACTATTTTAGAATATGAAAATTGCTCAGATCACTCCTAAAAAAGCCCAGCTGCTTCAACCATGCCCCTTTCTGTTCTCTTCACTCTGGGAAGGCTACTAAGTAGCAAGCACTACAGACCTTACCTGGCAAATGATGTCTCTGTTGGTAACACGCACAATCATCCTATATTTAGGGGTGTTATACTTGTTTTTATCTTGAATTACCAGCCGTTTGCGAGCATAGTAATCAGTTTTTCCCTCTGAAAAACAACAGTTATAGGGTGGAAGACACGTGGAAAAAAGTAGGAATGTTCATCAATGACATTTAATTATATGTTACAGGGGATTTAAGCGTACCTCTCCTTCTCCTGAATTTCACTTGGTATCTCTTGAAGTAGGCCTTATTCTTGACAACTTTCACAAACCCCTTGAATAAGAAGTATAACTAGACGTTATTACCATATAACCATGCAAGCCAAGACCATTCTAACTAAATTAAACCTACCACGAATAAAGCCACAGTGAAATAAAAAATAAAATAACAGGTTTAGTTATACATTTAGATGAAAAAAAAGGCATCATAAAAATAAAGGGGGTGGAACCCCACCCAAAGCCCAGAATGCCTGTCCTTCCCACAGGAACTAACGCATGCTGTTCCCCATGCCTTCACATGGTTTCAGGGGGAAAATGAGAAACCCTGTGTGTTAACCGAACGTCTGTCTGCAGGGACCGAAGCGATGACCGTGGTCATTTCCAGTCGCTCCCCCACGGCCAGTTACTTCTCTGGCGAGTTCCGCCCCGGGGCCGGCCTCTCCCGCAGCCC